AGTATGCACACTATGTTTGTCTAAACATTAGTCATGCCATACACCAAGTATGCACACTAACTTTGTCTATGATCTTTACTTTGTGAAATAGATCGACTGAACATTAATTCCAATGATTCTCATTTCACAATCCCAAATCCTTACCGCAAATGAAAGAATCCCAGATTTCTGCCATTTACTTAAATCTGTTAGATTCTAAACTTATATGCATTGGTCCTCTTGTAATGATTATGCACAAAGTCACAAAGACTTGTCAACACACATTACAGAGTATTCCAATAGATACCAACTCCATGGAAACGAAGTCTCGTATTCAAAGTTCATTGCTTTGAACATTCTTCTTGCATTAAGTTTCCTAATATTAAACAGATTTAATGAATAACTTCCACCTATGGGAATATTTCCATATTTTCATTTTGACTATCACTTCTGCACAAGAGTTGCCTCTTTTCAGAATATGTCAATATGGTCCTTCCAAATTAACACAATACTTCCAACTGTCCCTGAGCAACCAATCTTTGGTAAACCTTAGATTGTCCTCGACAATTGATTAATCAAATTAGTCATATCCAGTTCTACTACTTTCCCCTCTTAATGCTCTAGGCATTTTGGAAAAATTTAGAACAGATGAATATTATAGCACATGCAATCGATTCTATATCCGAAGCATATGTGACACGATTCATAAAGACATGATACTAGACCAGTCTTTTGCTATAATATTTCTATTTCTATTTGCCAAGTTCTCATAATTCAGATTATGAAGAGGGGTGATGTAATCATAATCGAATTTTAGAACCGCAAATAATGGACCCATATATAGAATTTCCTTATGTTGAGCCATTCCAACATAAAATTCATATATATATTATATATATATATATATATATATATATCCTTGACTAAAGATGATTAAAACCTCAATCTAAGCTTTTAGAATTGAAATGAAGTATAATTTCCTCTCCCTTAATTATAGCAAAACAACTTTTTCCCAATTGAAACCTTTTTGTTTTCTATAATTAACATTGCTAACTTGCAACACTTATCATAATTATCATGCTCTCACTTCATGATGATTATTAGCATAATACTTATGCTCCCACTAGCTTTGACATGTACTCAGAAATCAGCTGGACTTCTAGAAATCAATACTTTATTGACCTTCTTAACAAAGTTCAGATTTCTGATACGATATTGCTTTGACAAGACTTTATCAAAATCATACACCTTTTCTTAGATAGCTCACATGTGTGTCTAAACAATTTCAGAACTATGAAAAGGGATGCCGTAACCATAGTCTCAATTGTTTAGACCTTTGCCATTTCTCACAAGTCTATGTTAGTGTGCCGGTTAACCACACACGCTCCACTAACGACTTTGAGAATGCAAATATCACAACTGTTATCTACTTAAAATCTACTTAGTGAAAGTGTTTCCTCACCATCATTTTCATGAATCGGAGAGAAACCTTATGACACTTAGATTTTATGGTGTATGTGTTCCTATCCATGTGAATTTGTCAAAACCATAATCACAAGACAAGGATAATGACAAATCCAAACTCATATGGACTGAACTCAATCTTAATTTCTTGCCGCCTGGCAGGACAAGGGTCTGCCATTGCTTCCAAGTTGTTATGCAACCAATTGAGAACTCTCAGAACTCATATGCAAAGCCAACTTTAACTGGAATGGGCACAGAAATAGAAAAATGTCAACACGATAGGTTATAAACCTCACGTCGTGTGCTAGTGTCAAACTACAGGTTTTTATTCATGATTAGATCTTGAAATTCTTTCAGGATCTTTAAGACTCCCACTGTCCTCTTGACATATAAGACTATCTTTCCAAATATTCAATAGATAGTGTGGATTCTTTATCAAGACAAACACTTCACACAATTTGCCTAAGTTAGTCTTTGTTTTATCCAAAACATCACAACTTACCAATTTCAAATATACAAGAGTAGAAAACATTTTACTCTTCCATTTGACAAGTGTTATAAACCTTCTTTAAGATGTGTCACTCAAGTTACAATCTTGGAGTATGACTCTAAGAATTGTTTTGGAACGAAGTATGGGTCATCTTCTTGATTTAACCATTTCAGCAATTCTTGATTCTTCTTCTTAGCCATATGAATGCACTAAGATGTCCTTAGAGGACCAATTGTGACATGGTTTCTTAATCATTAAGATGATCACAAAACATGATACTAAAGTACTCTCCCATCTTTTCAGATTTGAGAAACTTTTATCCTTCTGCCTAATTTGATTCTTCTCATTCGTCCTGCAAAACATTGAAAAAAAAATTTCAATGTTTCAGAATTATACTTAAACTGGTAAGTATAACCATATTTACTAAACCTTAGTAAATCATGACGAATAGTCTTATCAATCTCTTGTGGTGGACTTGACCAGTGCACAAGAATGTGTACTTGATCCCTTAGTCCCTCACTTGACTCACATATACATGTAAACAAGGAATTAGTCTTAATTTTCCAAAGCTGAAAGTTCTCATTCATCATATTATACAACTTGCATGATTCCAAGTTTCGGTCCAATTGAAACTTTGTTGATGAGAATCTTTCCTTATTTGGTAAATTTAGACACTACCACAAATGAAAGAATCAAATTCATATTTCCATTATTTCTAGAAACATATAAACATCAATTTTCCATAAAAGCCATTTCAAGAAGATATAAACTAAAAATAAAATAAAATTTTTATTTATTTATATAAATGCGGAAAAAAAATTTCATTACAATGCAGCTTTAAATGAAAACTATGCTATTACATATTTCCCAGCAATCTATCATAACTCTCTAAGTAGTAGCTCAAGAATCCGATCTTCGAACCATGCGATTGAGATCCATCTTCGCGATCCGATTCAGCATACACTTTCTTTAAGTTTCCTTCCCTTTGCTTGATCATGCCAAACACCAAAATGTAATCGAGTCACATTTTGTATTAAGAATCATCAATAATGAACTTAACAGAGTTAGATAGTGGACTTACCTGAAGCAGAGTCAAATCCTTTTGATTTTTTCTTCTCTCTTATATCTTTCAGGTAGTTAGGGCAGTTTCGCAACCAATGCCCCTTCTCTTGACAATGAAAACATATAGACTCTTTGGGAATGGTACACGGGAGTATCACAGACTTAGCTTTTCCCTTTACCTTTTGGTCAATCGGGTTGACCAAGGCCGATCCCTTTCCATTGGGAAGAGAAAGCTTTTCTGGACTTCCAATGTTACCATTGTTAATGTCCACGGAATTTTGAGAAATAGACCTTCCACCCATATTTGCTTGACCATTGCGCCACATCATTTCTGACTCAGCAGCAACAAGCAAATAAGATAGATCTATTAAGGTCATGTCGTGATCTGTCACATAGTAGTTCTTAACGAACTCACTATAAGACTCAGGAAGTGACCGAAGAACCCAGTCAATAGCCAACTTCCTTGGGACAATGACACCCAACATTCTCAACCTGTCAAAGTGTGACTTCATTCCTAAGACATGAGAACACACAGGTCTTCCATCTTTATGTTTCATTGCTAGTAGGGCTTGAGTGACCTTGAATTTTTCAAGTCTTCGAGCTTGTGGGTCAGGGAGAATAAATGGAGGAGGTGGAGGTAGAGAAATATGATTTCCATGAGATTTGGGAAGATCACAGTTGTCTAAACCAGACATCTGCAATGGGAGATATTCAAGTTAGTTGATTTTAAGTCCTTAATATAACACCCAATATGAAATATTAAGGCTAGGACCCAACACAATATTTTATAACTTGGAAGAGGGATGTCGTAATCCAAGCTATAAAATATTTGAAGGTAGGTGAATGACGATTCACCAATTTCCACCATGAAAAACGAAATTAGATTTGAAACTCCTAGATCTTTTGAGAGTCATTGAACTTTCAATGACATGTTTCAATCTCGAGTGTGCCCTTCAGGTTTTGTGACTGGGATGCCGAGGATCACAAAACAAGGTGTGAAGTAACCATGCAAATTACTTGGTACCCTTAATGTATTACCCCTCAATCGATGTGCCCTAGATTCCCTTGCTTGGTGACCAAGCAGCCCAATCCCTTATACAAAGGGCATTGGAAGAAAATTCTAGGCCTTCCCCTAGAAGTTTTCGTCCACCTCATCTAATGAGGTTCTAGAGCCTTCCTTCCTCAAATTTCAATAATAACCAAACAGTCCCTGTACTTTTAGTTAACCCAATGAATCCCAAAATTAATTCCAATTAATTTCTGATTAATTATTAATTAAATAATATGATTTTGAATTAATATATTATTTTCATAATACATTAATAAACCATTTATTACTCACTTAATAAATTAATCTCTCTCTCTCTCTCTCTCTCTAACCAAACAATCCTTGTACTTTTAGTTAACCCAATTAATCCCAAAATTAATTTCAATTAATTTCTGATCAATTATTAATTAAATAATATGATTTCTAATTAATATATTATTTTCATATTACATTAATAAACCATTTATTTAATTTATTATTCACATAATAAATTAATCCCTCTCTCTAAAAGTCATCATGTCCAATTGGTAGGTTTGAGGGCAACCCAAAAGGATTGTTCTACTATCAATTCAAGTATATACCAATTTTACTTATGGGTTTAGACACCTAATCCAACAAGAAGGTAGTGAATGAGGAAGGATCGAATGGCACCGATGTGTGGATAAGTCAATAGCCAAGGTTTGGCTATGGTCTTAATGAGGACGAGGTCCAATAGGATGGTGAAGAAAAAGACTTTCACATGCTTTTGTCTGATGAAGAATCAAGTGCTTCGCAACACTCTGTTACCAAGAAGGCCAAGAAGAACAAAGAAAGTTGTAGTGTCAAGGAAAGAATTCCTTGACCTCTCCTAAAAAAGTTGATAAGATTTTAGCATCAGTAACCATTCCTCCCCTCCCTCCATCACAAATTGTCATTCCTCCCAATCCAAAATCTATTGCATATAGAGTTCCTGAAATTATGGAAAGGGAAAAACTCTTCGATCAGAAAACTCTACTTCGCATCGAGATAGGAATAAAAGCATTAGATGAGTCAAGGAAGAGAGATCAAGAAGAGTTCCTTAAGAAAGTGGAAGAGTTGGTAAAGGAGATTGAACAGTTCAAAGAAAAGCTGATGATAGACTAACAGGCATTTGAGAAGAATGTGCGAGATCTACTTAATGAGACCCACAAAGCCTATGATGTGGGATACACAAAACTCCAATCCACCATTAAGGATCTACAGAAAAAGAATTTTGTTCAGTTGCAGGTACTTTCAGATGTGGCATCTGAGGCAACAAAGCATATGAATGCCCCTAAGAAAACTCGCGATGAGATCCTACAATTTTTCAAGGACATTCTTAAGCAACTCATATATCCTCTCATCCTAACCACCAACGACGTAAACACAAAGGCTCAAATTGGATTTAAAAGGGTGATTGAACTCCTAATGGAGTTAAAGAATAGCAAGTTTGAGGAGAAGTCAGGGCCTTCTTCCTCAAAACGGGGGAAGGCTACCTAAGATGAATATGTTCGCACGTAAGTTCCATAACTTCCGATGTATACTACCTATCAAGATGTTCGCATGAAAATTCCACAACCTCCACCACAGACTAACTCTCCTGCGAAGGCATCTCCCTCCAAATCCCCTTCCATATCCAAGTCAGGATCATCCATTGAGAAGGGTTCCAACGATGAAGAGGAAAGTTCTACTGAAGAAACCCCTCAGTATCCTCCTAAAAGAAAAACTCCAACTCCTCCTCAATATCTCCCAAAAATAAAAACTCTAACTCCTCCCCAATCTCCAGTAAAATCCTCTCCTTAAAAGGAAGTCACTCTAGAGCCATCCATGTATGATGATAATTCATATGACTCTACGACCACCAAACAAAAGAAAAGTGACTGGAGAGCTGCCAAATTGGCCGAAGAGATCTGGAAGAAATAAGGTTTTGATATACAAATGGTAATTCACTTATGGGTGAATCCCATCCGTAGATTGACTGATGTAGACTATGCTCCTCATCAAACCTTCGTGATGCCTAGATATGACATGTACTAGCACATCCCTCTACACCCAAATGGAAAATTCTTTCCAGTATTCACCGAATTTGATCTCAGAATTCCTGGCTCCCGAAGACTTCCAATGGAGTTCGAAAGAATATGCCAATTACACAAAAAGCACAAAAATACATCAATATATCTGGTCAAACGTAATTCCGGAGCTTATTTAAAACACACAAATCCAGACCCTTTATAAAATCACAATTCTTGCAATACACTCTTGTTAGTAATAGAGTTGAATACAGTTGGACTCAAGCTCACTTCATTCACATTAATCCTAAAGAGTTGTTCATCATAGCAAGCGTCTTCGATCTAAATATTAAGAAGTATGACCACTCCAAGCCCGTATATGGCAAAGTTTATGATTACTTGAGGGCTTTGGTCTATGACTTCACATCAATTGATGTATGAATCTATTCGATGCTCGTTAATCATTTTGATCGTCCACCATTTGAAGCAGACCTTATAACTGAAGAAGGCATTAAAGACAGAAAGGATGGAGCAATCAACTTCCCAAAACTTGGCATCATTTTTTGTCTTAAAAATAATGGTAACAAGATCTTTTTAGATGCAACTGCATTTCATCAGTGTACAAACTCACAACTAGAAGAAATCATAAGGGTTGACAATATTTCCAAATACACCATCGAGGAAGTAAAAGAGGCTTTATGATAAGGGATTCAGTGGCTATTCAATGTGAGGAAGTTTTGGAATTTTCTTATCAAGTTTTTCAAACTTTATAAACGAAGGAGGTAGCTGCGAGGTCACTTAGGAGAAATTGTTGATGCATGAAGTGACCATCGAAAACTAACGTGTTTTTGTGGTGTACGAAGTCCTTTTGTAAATGTAGATGAGAAAAGTCTTTTTGATTTAGTCAAGTGAAGAAGGGTTAATTTTGTGTGTTACAAGGAGTTGTTGCATGTGATGTTGTTGTGTGAAGATTGGAGATAAAAAGGCTATGTGAAGAGTTGAAGATCATTTTGTCTTGACGTGCTGGGAAGAGAGTACAACTGTCAGCCTTGCAGTATAAGATCTTTTGGATAGCTTTTTTCAGAACATACGTGGCAAGCATGACCGCTTGTTCAACATAACTTCCCTTTATCCAGTCAATAGTGAGTACCTTGTTTAGCTATAAATAGAGGGTATTGGTTACGTTCAAAAGTGAATTTGGATCTTTCCATCTTTCTTGTCATTTTTATTATTGAAATACAAGTCTCTTTTTTCTCCGTCTATATTATTGTTGTTCATAGCATACTAAAGTTGTGTTTGCATTCAAACCAAGTTACAATTCAACAAATTACTTGATTATTTGCTTATATTTATTTAGTTATGTTGTTGTTATGTTTCTGATATGAACCGTTCTTAATTTTCACATCTATTTATTATTGAGCTAATTAAAAATCCCAAAGATTAACTTAATTTCACATCATAATCTCAATCCACAAGTTCTTCTCTCAACAAATATAATCACACTCTGTCTCTATCCACATCTTTTATATATCCACAAATACCTTTTCTTATCATCTACTTGTACATAAGATTATAATGCATATAATCCCATTATTTCTATATCAAATCTTATAGGTATTAGTCATAATACCCTTATTATTTCCTTATACATCTATATATGCTTTGGTTATACATACATGATCAGATACATGATCTTAAATGTATAACTACAAGTGCATAATCTTTTATATGATTATAGTACATGTAATCCTATTCTTTCTTTCTCCCTGTCATGCACAGATACATGACTCATGCATATAAACATACATACATATAATTATATATAACAAGATAAAGAGAAAGAGAGAGTGTGTGTGTGAGAGAGAGAGAGAGAGAGAGAGAGAGAGAGAGAGACTTATAACACACCTTGTTAGCTAGTGAAGACTAACTACCACTTGGCTTCAAAAGTTCAATAGATGCATCTTGGATCATCCTCTTGTTCAAGGCCTATTCATACAATATTTCAAGTTCCTTAGAACTTATCTTAGCCTATTAAGAGCTTATCTACTTCTTAATGCTAAAATGATCATTTAACTATTCATAATTCTAACATTTCATTCTTTATTTCTAAAATTAATCCAATCAATGAATTAAGCACCACATACTACCTAATTAATTATAATCTAATCTCTAATGCATCAATTCAACATAATCACTCGTTAAGGGTTAAACCCCTAACTTTGCTTATATAGATTTCATATTGGAATCACATACAAAGTTTGTTTAAAGCTTCTAAATATTCTTACACATCATAGACAAGCTATAGGTTGATTAATTCATTCATTCTAACTAATCTAGCAATTTCACCATTTAAAGCTCAGAGTTAAATCAAAGGGGAAATCTTTACCTCAAGAGTACACAGATGTTAATCATTATCATGTTCCTTCTCTTGCTTGTCCAACCCCCCTCTTAGCCTCAAAATCGTCTCCTTGCAGCTCTCCCCCGATTTGGGGTATTTTGGTTCGAAATGAGGCTCTAACAATAAAACATGTGTTCTGATGGCATGACCGCGCCGTGGTGGTGTCTTTACCGCGTCGTGGTGCGGTTTAAAGTAAATAAAACGCAAACCAAACCGTATATACTGTTAAAGAATTTTATAAATAACAAACCATGTTGTGGAAGTTCGAACCTATGTTATACGATATGGTTTGGTGTTGATGGTGTGGATGAGGTTTAAGCCTTTTGATAAATTATTTAAATTTGATAATGCGTAAGTTGGAACTCTATAGAGCTTTATGTGGTAACTACTTTTCCCAACTATGAATATAACAAGTGAAAAAAATATATATGTGTTTAGAGAAATTAAATATCCTTCTACAATTTCTTCCTATCATCCTCCTACCCATGTCAAATGATGACATGTGTCATATTTAATTTTCCTTAATAATATTTTAATCCATTTGTCACCATTTAACATAAATAGAAAGATAAGTAGAAATAAATTGTAGGATAATATATTTAATTTCTCATCTGTTTAATATAAAATTATGGATAAAAAGCTTTTGATGTTCCAAATGCAATCGATTAGGAAATAGAGCTACTTTGTCGATTGATATATTTAAATTCCTACTTTTAAAAGAGTAACATTTCAACATGCATTCGTTTTGGTACTAGAGGAAAGAAACACCTTATCATAAAAAACCAGACATAATATCTTGAACAGTAACATCAAAATATATATAAATATATATATATATATATATATATATATATATATATATATATATATAATTTGAATCATGATTATATAATAAATAACCTCAATTGGAAACGAAGAGTGTGGTTTAATAAATTTTAAGACCGCAAACCATATCACGGAAATTTAAAACCGCAATTTGCAAAGAGTGATCTAACAAATTTTAAAACCGCAAACCATATCGCGGCAATTTAAAAGCGCAATTGGTAGTGCGGTTGAATGCGGTGGGGTAAAATTGAGATGAATATATATATATATATATATATATATATATATATATATATATATATATATATATATATATATATATTGGTTAAATTGAGAACACTGTTTTAAGTAAGAACATGAGGACTAATTTTAGCCATTAGATTTGTTGTATTTAAGGGTCAAGATTAAGTATTCAAAATTTGTATGTATTCTAAGGTGTTTTTAATATTGGTAATATTCAACCGTGATTTTTTATGTCTTTAATGAGCACTATGTAACATCCGATATTCATAAAAAGGTAATAGTATCAAATTGCAAACGGCTCCCGATAAACCCTCGCGGAAAAATCTACCCAAATCGTTTCTATTTCGGTGAAACAATCTTCACAGAATCTTCAAAAAAAATTTCCAAAGATATTAGGTTGATCGTTTAATGTTATAAATTTGAAGCGAGATGAGGCGGACGAGAGCACAGAGCTTGAGAAGGAGTGCAAGAATGATGGAAGAGGGTTTTCAATCAAAGTTTACTAATACGGCTAACAATGTTATCGATCTTGAAGAAGAAGAAGTCTTGTACATTGAATCAGGTAAATTAAAGATTAGTTTTTTTTATCTACGATCGGAATTAGGGTTTTTGTTTGAGGGTTTTGTGAGGAATTAGGATGTTTTGGTTGTTTGTCGGTAAAGTCAAAGTTTTTTGTGTAACAAGTTGTTGGTCATGAATGCAGTTTGTGTTATGGAAATAGGTTTAGTTTTTTGGAAAAAAAAATTTGGCTGTTTTGTGATATGAGCAAAAATTTTGTTTTGAATGAATGTGTATTGAAATGTGAATTAAGAGTATGTGATAGAGTTTTTGATTAACGTAGATGGTGATGATTAGGAAGGATGTAAAAAAAATTATGCAATAGATTGTGAAAGAAGTAAACATTTGAGCAGTTTAACAGAGTAATTGTTGAGGTTTGTTATGCATTAGGGAAGTTTAATTCGTATGTGAGTATATGAAAAACTTTAGTGTGATTGAACTTGGAAAAAAGGAGTACATAAAACCTTAAATGGTATATGTTAACTCTAAGTTGCTTCAAATTAAAAAGTTATGTTCCATGATTAAGATTGAAATCTGGATTCCTGTTAGGCGCATACTTCTGTATTAGAAAATGAAAATGGAAAAAATATAGATGCGCTTATGAAATTGTTATGTAGGAGTTAATATTCTGTGTTGAGTATGGTAATACTGAATTTGCTGAGTTATTTTGATGCTTTAATGAATGTGTATTCATGTTTGAATGTGTGGAATCATGCATAAAAAATCAACATTTAATTAGTTAAGGAGTGTATGGTATTACTTTTAGGGCCATAGTTTGATACTGTAAATTAATAAGTTAAGCAATTAAATATGCGTGTATGAATGGGTGCAGGAGGAGTGTTGTGAGTTAATGAATGTATATTGAATTGTGAATATGTGTGGAAGTGAATGAGTAATCTGTAATGAATGTGTATTCATTTGTGATTATGTGAGTAAGTGAATGTTTAGTCTTTTATGATTATATGAGTTCATGGATAAATTTTGTGCATACAATTTGTAAAGATTAATTTGTAATGAATGTGTATTCATTTGAGAATATGTGAGTAAGTGAATGTTTATTCTTTTATGAGTACATAATTCATGGATAAATTTTGTGCATACAACTTATAATGATTAATCTGTAATGAATGTGTATTCATTTGTGAATATTTGAGTAAGTGAATGTTTATTCTTTTATGAGTACATGAATTCATGGATAAATTTTGTACATACAATTTGTAAAATGTAAGAATGATTATGATGATATCAATGTACAGGGTCATCAAGCGTCTGTGTAGTTGAAGGAAAGAATGCTATGATGAATGTAGGGAAGAAACGGGTATCTGGTGGGGGACGAAAACTAGAATTACCCAAAAAGACAAACAATGGAAAATCATATAAGAATGACACAAGTGATGATGATTTTGTTGAGAGGAAAAATATGATGGATTCTGGAAAGAATGAAAATAAAATGAAAAGGAAAAGGGTTGACAAGAGTGATAAGTATAAAAAGGTTAAGGTGAAAGGGAAAAAAGTAATTGGATCTCAAGAAAAATGTAAAGAAAGGAAGGTAGGAACTAAATTTCAAAGGTTGAGTACTCGTATGTCTCCAAACTCATTGTATCTAGCAATTAAAAGTTTGTCAAAAAATCAGAGAGAAATGGTACGTAATATGGGTTTTGGATCTTTTCTGGGAATGAAGATTGATACACTACCTGGAAAGCTAGAATATTTTGTTGTAGATAGCTTCACAACAAGTTCTTGCTCCATAAGGCTTAAAAGTGGTGAAGTGGCCATAACAAACGAGACAGTGGAAGCTATGTTTGGACTTCCGAATAGGGGTTTGGATTTTATCACACTGGATGAATGTGATAAGAATGATCCTTTGCTTGAAGATTAGAAAGGACAATATGGGAAGGGAAATTATTATAATGGGAACTATTTGAAAAATATAAGGAAAACAAATGTTGCGGATGAGATTTTTAAGCTGATTTTTTTGACGTTATTCATTAACACTTTTGCTGAAACAGAGACAATAGGGTCTTGTAGAATTAATTTTATTGAAAAGTTAATTCAATGCAAAGATGTGGCAAGTATTAACTGGTGTGAGTACATAGTAGACTGTTTAGAAAAAAGTAAGAATAAATGGAGGCCAAACGACAAAAACTGCTACTTCAGAGGACCTCTTGCGTTTCTAATGGTATGATATTCAATATTAATTTAATCTGTTAAATTCTGTTATCATTAAAATTTAATTTTAATGAAAAAATTGTTGAATATTATTGTGCAGATGGCGTATGCAGACAGAGTGATATGTGAAGATGTAAATTTGCAAAGGTATAGGCCCTTCATCACAGAAATTGATTCAGAGCACCTAAGAGTTTTAGAAAAATATGAAGTAAGCAGGGGTGTATTTGGAAATCTAAGTTTAAGAGAAAATGTGGATGGTGTGTTTTATGATGAGATGATGAATCAAGATCATTCAAAAGATAGATCAGTTGAGGTAAATAGATTTTATAATAAATATAATATTAATAGTAATTATTTTATGTTAGTGATTGTTAATTGTATACTATTAAAAAATATTAGAGTGTTAAAGTAACATTTCTTTGATTTTTATTGTAGGAGAGTTGTGGAATTATTGAAAGTATGGTAGGAAGGTTGGTTGAGCATAAAAAGGTTGTATAGGCAAGTAGTTTGATGTGTATGGAAATGCATCCGAATAATGATAAGATGAAGGCAGTGATTAAGAAGGTTGTTGACATCTTTAATGGGACGACACTAAAAGTTGTTATTGCTGATGGGCATGAAGATAGAATGGAGGTTGATGGTACGAGTGTGCATGCAACAGAAGGAGAAAAATCAGCTGAGGATATGAACCAAATGATTACTAATTTGACCAATAAGATGGGGAAGGATTTACTTAGTGGACCAAAACTTTATTTTGATTCGAATGTCCATTCTTCAGATCATGGAATGGAAGGAATGTCCCCAACAATTGTGAAGCCAACTGGTATGTGCAATGATAAGGTTCTGTTTGAGCATAAGGGTGGTTCACATCAACAGAATATAGGAATGGAAGTTGTAATGTACAATGGGAATTCTAGTTTTGATTCTCCTTGTATATTAACACCTGGTTGGATAAAGCAAGCTGATGAAATAGAAAGAAACAACTCTAAAAAGAGTATTACGTTTAATAATGATTGTCCATTCAATTTGAAGCTAGACTTAATGAATGTGCAGATGAGATGAAAACTTCGAAATGGAATGAAGGTAAAGATGATGCAATTGTTGAACAGGATTGTCCTAAAAGGACAAAGAGAAATGTTGAAGTTGTAGTATGGATTAAAATGAGAGAAAAAAGAGAAATGAAGCATGTACCTACATTGAAGTCACCTTTTGTACAAAGAGTTGTGGACTTGAAAGATTCAGTTGAGCAGAAAGAAATTCTGGTTGCACAAGCTATTATTGGATTAGAAATGGATAAAAGGTGTAGTTCCATACTTTTTTATTTGTTTTTTTTTTATGATTAATGTTGTGTAAAATATCTGATGTATACAACCGTGACTAATGCAGGGAGCTCGTATGGGAATCAAAAGAAGGGTTTGGAATGCATCTAGAATATGCTAGAACTATTGCAGCAAAAGTGAATATTCATTCAAATGTAATAGATTGTTGGAGTGTTCTACTAAACAAATTGGAAGAGAGCAAGGCAGAGTCGTCATATTCTAGACTTTTTTTTACAACAGGCACACTGGTATGGTTTTTTTTTTTAAGATATAATAATTGTTTTTAAAAAATTTAATGTTATTTATTGTGTTGTTTGAATGTAATGTCCAACGTGAATCAATGTATGACGAAAAGGTGAACGAAGATGTAAGATACAAAGAGTTTGAAATTATGGTTTCCTCATCAATTGAAGATCTTACAACTGATTCTGAGCTAAAAAAAAGTGGATTTGGTAATAAAAATATTTTGATTAAAATGTTTACTATTACATTTATTTGTTTTGTTATTAAGTGTTATTTTTTGATTAAAAATGTTGTAGGTTTTCTTCCCTATTGTTGATGGGAATTACTACCTGATATGTTTTAACCTTAAAAGTTTTTCAATTTTGATAATTGATCAAAGGAGATTGGTGGGAACAGTTGAGTCCGTCTATGGGAACATATCCCGTGTGCTGGTAAGTATGAAAATAAGATCATTAATCTTAATATATGTTTATGTGATTATTTAAATGGTTAATACACTTTGTGTTACATAATTAATGAGTGTCATTAACGTTATGTTAACAACAACAAAAAATTTTCCGTTTTCTAAATGATGTCTATAAGAAGAAGGTGAAGACTCTGATGACAAGGAATGTGGTGGTGTTGAAAATGAAGTGTCAAGCATACAACCGTTCAGATGATGGTGGAATCTACCTTATGCGACATATGGAGAGTTTTATGGGGGATCAAACATCAAAGTGGGATTGTGGGCTAGCTGTGGATTTAAAAACACAAGATATGTATTTACAGAAGTTAAGGTACAAGTATTTGGTGAGGTTGCTTTTGTCTGATCATAATATTTTGAAGTGTGAATTTGAAAAGGAGTATGCAAAGTTTGTTAAGATGGATAAGGCGACAAGGAAAGAAAATAGTTCAAGGGAATCTGAAAGTAGTCTTTGATGAAGCAATTGGTTAAAAGCTGATGGAGAAGGTATTTGTTTTTTTGGGTTTGGTAGTTGATTGGTATTTTTGACAAACATCTTTTTTTGGTAGGATGGTAGCATTTGGTGTAGGGGTAATGTAGTATGGATCTGTTTTTGTTATGTGTCTCTGAAGTTATTATGTTGTTTGTGGTTTGAACCTATATTATTACTATTTACGTGTGGATTATTTTGTTGACTATGTGTTGACTGTTTGATAAATGTGTCTGAAATGATTTAGTTGAATGTTAAAGTTAAGGTGATTTTCAACAATTAAATTTTGTAGAATACGTACTTTAATGGATTTCTCATGGAATGTAAGTTGAATGTTGTATGATCCCAATCTTTAAATTCACTATAGAATTTATAATTGTGTAACCAAATCTTAAGTAGAACAACCAAATAATTAGAAATTAGCAATTAGCAATTTGTGTACATGTTTATTGACACGTATTTGACAATTTGGACTTAAAGTAGGAAAAGATATTTATTTTTAACAATTTAAAGTTGATATATGTATATTCAATATGTACAAGTTTTTTTGAAAACACAATAAACGTATATACGGTAGAGTACAAGATATGTACATTAAGTGTTGAAAAGTTTTATTTGAGATGGTAAATGAATGTCAAGATGAGTCTGCTCTTTGGGAGGGGTGTTGAAAAAGTTTTCATCTTTTGTATGCAACACAACATTTGTTTTGAAAACTAAATATCTTATTAAGTAAGATAAAGGACTCATTGTATATTGAGCGTACCATAATAGTATGAACGATAATATCATTCAATGATGAATAAATTTATACAACAAAATTGTGACAACCCGAAAGATATTCCGTTAACATAACCCATGCCGTTAATAAAATTTATTTTATTTTGGGTTTTTCCGTTAACTTTCAAATTAAATAATTCATTTAGAATTATTTTTATTATTTCCTATGCGTTGAAACGAAATATTTATTTGAGTGAAAACACTCTAAATAATCATTTGAGAATTTCTAGACTACGACTAATACGGGTAATGGTTATTTACCCGGGTAAAATATTAAGCTCCGTTTAATGCCAGTGTTGGGTGTATTCCCACCGGGTCACTAACTCTAGACATACAAAAGAGTGGAGTGACCACCATTTGAGCTTTTCCCACACTTGAACTTTCTCTCTCTACTCTCTCTCTAGAAATCGAATCCTCTCAAGAATCTTCGTTTTCAAGCTCCAAATTGGTAAGTGATCCTTCCTAACTAGTTGGTTAGCCTAACATGCATGCGAATTCAAGACTTAAACTCTCAATTGCATCAAAAGTATGTGTTTACGGTTTGGGGGAGCCTCCCAAAACCGTAAACTCCTCCAATGGGGGTTTTGAAGCCCCAAAACCCTTCCAAACCTCTTCTAATGCTTAGATCCTTACATGCATGGAGTTAGAACCACAAGATCATGAGTTTTTGGCCATAAACATGAGTTTACGGTCCTTGAATATTCAAGAACCGTAAACACCCTTTCATGGGGTTTTGGTGCTCCTTAACCCTTCCAATGCATGTCTAATGGCCTTGAAACTTGCTTGGATGATCTTAGAACCCTAAAACATGTCCAAAGGAGTGTAAACATGAGTTTACGGTTTGGGAACGTCTCCCAAAACCGTAAACACCTTTCCAAGGGTGTTTTAATGCTCCAAACACTTTGCATGGCTTGCATTTGAGTCTAGAACTTGCATGAATGGCCTACAAACCACCAAAACACTTGGAAAATGGACAAACATGGACAAAGGTGGGTTTACGGCCGTAAACCCATGTGTTTACGACCGTAAACTCCCCAAGGGTGGTCCAAGGACCGTAAACCCATGAGTTTACGACCGTAAACTCCTCAAGGGTGGTCCAAGGACCGTAAACCCTAATTCCTAGGCCATTTCATGTCCCGATCACTTCCTAAGCCCTCGAATCAACCCTAGATCCTTCCTATGTGCAAGATGAGACCTTGGATCACTCAAACCACCACACCCATGAGTTTACGGCCGTAAACTCATGGGGGATGTGGTCTTTAAACCGTAAACTCCCCTAAAGGTTTACACTTGAAGAGTAAACACCTTATCTAGGCCCTACACTCCTTAAATGCAACCCGTATCATTCCTAACACTTGGAATCAAGTGTTTTCTTGCATTGAGTGTGTCTACTTGTTTAATTAGTAGTATAATAACTAATTGGATACAATTGGGTATCACCTCATATTACTTAGGACCTTTGCGTGCGATCAAGTCCTAAGTTGTCTTCTAGCATCTAAATCGGCACATTCTCGTCAGGTGAGTTCATACCCCTACACCTTTTCCAAGTTTTTCATGTTTTCAGGGGGGGAATACAAGCAAAATCATAAAGGTTTTCATAACTTGAAAGAAACTGATGTAATTATACGATCCTCCGATGAACTTATGTTACTTTATCCCTCTTGTAATAGGCAGAGCATAAGGGATATTTTCTAAATATAATTACATAGTTTTCCTAAAACTGTATGGAACTTATCAAACCTTTCCAATCTAAATGGGAAAAACTTATCAAACTGTGCAAATTATTATGGGAATAATTTGGGGATCTTTACCACTTGATATACGAATTTCGATTTCATGCAAAGTCAAAAATATAAACTATGTCTGATTTAGTTTATCTATGTCTAATCTAGAGTATCATGCTAAATAATTATGTTGTATTTAATTATTTATACTCTACTATGTTCCAAACTAATTCGAAACTCGAAAACGATTGAATTATCCGAAAATCTGTAAATACTAGCTTGTGAGACTTATCTTCGTTATATCCTTCGGGATACCAATAAATCCTCACCGGAAGTATAACCAGAGTCTCCTGGAGGGAGAACGTGAAATTTGTGGATAGATCTATTCGGGACTGACAATCCCACACCTAAACTGTTAGCTACAGTTAGGCGGGCACGCCTGGGGTGACAAATTTTGTAAATCGAACGACGCCTGAAGAACGTCAAGGAGGTCACGGGTCATATCAGTATGGTTATACGGCTCACAATACGTATTTAACAAACCAACTTGGTTACGGATTTTTCTTACTTTATTTCAACTATAGTTTTATGTATTAAAACTATCTACTTTCACACTGGATGGTATTCCAGGGATCTAATCTAATAGTTTTATGTATTAAAACTATCTACTTTCACACTGGATGGTATTCCAAGGATCTAATCTAATAGTTTTATGTATTAAAACTATCTACTTTCACACTGGATGGTATTCCATGGATCTAATCTAATAGTTTTATGTATTAAAACTATCTACTTTCACACTGGATGGTATTCCAGGGATCTAATCTAATAGTTTTATGTATTAAAACTACTTACTTTCGTACTGGATGGTAATTCCAGGGTTATAACTTATGGTTTTCATATCTTATTCAAATAAACTTACATGTTAGAAAATATGGGATTTTCTGGGAAAAACATGCCTATGTATTTCATAACTCAGTAACGATGGCTTTTCAATATTACAGTAAACCTTTACAAAAGGAAATGAATTATTTAACACTGGATTAAATAAATGATTTTTCCTTAACAAAATATGCTTATGAAGTCACCAGCTTTATGCTGATATTTTAAAAACTGCTTGTATTCTCAGGGCATCCTTAGACAGGTACTCACACTAACTTTTGGAGAAGACGGAGCATATAGAAGACTCGTCTTTACTTTTGTTCTAACCAATGTATCTAAGAAAACTTGTAGTACTTTATTTTCAAACAAATGTAAAACTTTCTCATGTAATGTAATGGTTGTGTTTACTATGCTTGCTATGTACATTGGTTGTGATACTCTACATGACGTCACTCCGCCCCGGAACGTTTCCGCCATCGGTTTCGGGGTGTGACAGATTGGTATCAGAGCCCTTGTTTATAGTGAACTAAGTATACCGAACCTTACATGGTATACAACTATAAACACTAAGGGGCCTAAGTGCTCTAAACTAAAAGTATGCTTTTAAAATATAAGTATTTTTATAAAAGTATACAAGTATTTCCGAGTACCGAAATCCGTATCGCGAAGAGAACAAAGCATAAGTAATATGGGTGTTGTGCACTGTGGTTAAACCTGGGCAGTTATGTAGTCATGTCTAGGGTCAATATAGCCTGATCAACTATATTCATTCGAGACACGGCCAACATGTGCTTGGGAGTGACTGTGGTGTACAGCAGGCCTATAACTTACCTAATATCCATTCAACATAAAATACTATGGGAGTATTTTAGTCCGAACCAAATACCTCATGGAAATCCGTTCCGAGTGTTACTACTCATTCCTCCCTTAGCGATAGTTTACTTACTTTAAGTAATTTTCCTGTCCTATCGCTTAGTAGAACACTCTAAAAATTATTATGAGATATATCCTTGCTTCATATCTCTAAATTCCATCCTCCTCTTTCTTGGTCATTTCAGATCAAGATGCCTCCCCGAAGGAGATCTACCAGGAGAAACAACGACACTCCTCCACCACCGCCTCCTCCCCAATTTGATCCTGTCATGTTTCAGGCAGCTGTTACTGCTGCCGTGGCTGCTGCGATGTCACAAATGAATCCCGGTGGATCTGGTGGTCAGGGAGGTGGTATGCATCCTCAATTTCAGGAAGGTGGTCAGGGACACCAGAAAGAATGCTCTTATAAAGATTTCATGAACGCAAAACCCACATCTTTCGACGGCAAAGGAGGTGTTATTGCTCTGACTCAATGGTTCGAAAAGATTGAGTCCATATTCGAAATTTGCGCAGTCTCCGAGGCCAACAAAGTGAAGTACGCCGCTTGCACTTTCCTCAACAAAGCATTAACCTGGTGGAATGGCCGGGTCAAGTCCTTAACCCTGCCAGTGGCAAATGCCATGGGTTGGGACAAACTGAAGGAACTCATGATAGCCCAGTATTGCCCACGGGGCGAGATGCAGAAACTCGAACACGAACTCTGGACCCTAAAGATGAAGGGTTCTGACAT